TCCTTGGAGTTTATGAACTTCCATTTGTAGTGGTTCGCCTTTGAATTCCGGTCGTATGTTACCGACTTTGTGTGCTGTGGCGTCCTGATTCTGAGCGATTTCTATTGCCTCTTCTAGCGTCAGTTCTGAACCTAATTCAATGCATTTGTAATAGGCCTCTTTGGAGCGTAGTCCAATAACTATTGCATCCCGAAGTAGTCGATCGCGTGCTTCTGAAGGATATTCACACTGGTCTTACAGAATAGAGGCTTTGTCAATGTACTCTGCAAGGCTAAAATCACCTTGCTCCAGGCGGCGGAAGTTTGATGCGGCTGCAAGTGCATTGGATTTCGGCTTTGCCCACTCCACGAACTTTTTTAACAGCAGGCTCGGATCTCCCTTCTCTTCCGTGGTGAGATTCAGTGACTTAATGTGAGTTCTTCCAGCCTTTCCTGCCCAAATGAGAACATGATTTGCTTTCACAGCTTTGCTCTTCGGAGCTAGCGGACCATTCAAAAGAAGTTCGCATTCCTCAACCCAATCCAAGCACTTTTGGTAACATTCTGGGCCCGGCGTGAAGTTTCCTTTCGGCGCTGGTAAATGCTCCGATGCAGCCATTGTAGATTGAGAGGGTTGATGTTTTCGAAGAGCTGGCGGTGATCGCTTTCGACGTTAGTCTTGGCTGGGTTTGTTAAATCCTGTCACCATGTTAACTACTCGGTTCTGCAAAAGTTTTTTATTCATACACACACTAATCAAAGTAATAATCCTATGTAGAACTAAACTCACGAGTTTATATATTTGGTAGCATTTCTGCATATATTACGGTTGGGACAATATACACTTATTAACAAGTATTTATATTGCGACAAAACGTGACAAGACGTGAATGGCGGAATGAATAGGATTAATGATAGCTCAAATGAATTGCTGATTATGCAACAGGTATGGCGCTAGCAGATTCAGTCAAGTAGCTGGCTTGGTGGAGCTTAACTGGGACAGCTGATGTCGTAAAGGATCGTAGTCCATACCAGGGGCCTAGCCAGGATATTTTAAAGGGGGAAAGGGGGGAGTCAACATGTGTGAAACCTAAGGTACTCACCAGATTGGCATGTCAACCTCCAAGGCGTGTTTTACTTAATGTGATAAAAAGAGACCTAAAAAGGGGGGTCACGGGCACTCCATCTCCCCCTCTCCCCCTTCCCCTGTTAGCTACACCCTTGTGTGCGGTTCCCAGGAAGTGGAAAGCAACTCGCTTTTGGAGTTTCCAGGTTTCACGATAACCGCCTAGAAACGAGTCCAAGTGGGAGAGTTTTTTTCAGTATTCTTTTGTCTAAGATATTGCTTAATTTTCCATGTTGATTGAAAGTATTCATTTTCATTTGCTTTCCGTTTCTCTTTGAGCGACTGATCAGTTTGTGATCAGTTCTTGGCAAACTTTAAAATATTAGCATATTTGCTGTTGTTCCATATTGCAACTAAATTGAGTTTTTATCGTTTCATTTTGTGTAAGTACGTAAGCCTTTCAGCTTCACTCTAAATAATATCAGGTGGGCTTGGTGGTGAGTCTTTCCAAGCAATTTTAAGAGTATCAGGGTCCAGCAGATAAAGGTGCTAACCCGGCTTCTAAAATCTATTTCTATTGATTCGATTGAGGATTGAAGTGGGTTCAAGTCCTAATATTCTTCTTGTGTTTCTTTCAGTTCTAAACCTACGGAAACCGTGGCATGACAATTTTCAACAAGAATAGCTTTCATTAGATTACTTGCAGGAACGTTTTCGGACCTTTAAAAATTTTTGAAAATTTCACCGTCCACTCATCCGCTGACTTGGTTAGCACTTCCCATAAATGAGCCCACAGTACAGTGTGATGATCCCAGAGTGCAATAAGCTCGTGGTATCTGCGAAACGTCATGCGTACAGAACTTGATCTGCACCCTTTTCTAACTGTGGTAGAACATCAATGAACATTGTATGCATCGTCGAATTTGTCCATTCAGTTTCCAAGTGGATGCTTTATCTGGTTATGGAGCCCGAAAGAAATTACTTCATTGCTTAGATATTTAAATTTTTTAACTTGATCGGCTGAAGTATAAAAAACTTTTTTTTTTTCTAAGCAGCTTAGAAAACTATCCAAGAGTTATCGCAGGGTAGCATTTCACTCTATTTGCTTTGGAAGACATTTATGAAGCAAAGGAATTGGTAAGTCACCCCTCCTAATTGGTACTATTGTGATTGAGGGCTGATCGTGATATTTTTCATTGTTTGAAGAGCATCAATGGATTATCTGATTCAGTAATAACTCGACATTCTTTAATAACCGTTCCTTTTATTAATGACTACAGAAGCCCAAAACCCGGAAGTACTTTTATTAATAGTCTGTCTTTGAAAAGAATAAATTACAACACAATTTACGCTTTGTTATTCAGCTTAATTCTTTCTGTTAGCTTAAAGAAAAATAAAGTTTTATACAGTGAAAAATTTAAATAAGAAACCCAATAATCACAAAGAGTCATAAGTACATTCTTAGGGTGATATGACCTAGCAACTCTGATAATAGGACTGCAGTTCTTTTCTTTTGTAACCTTTTTGCTGATTGATTCCTAGATAAAAGTTTAAAATTATTAGGTATGCTTTGTTGCCACCACAAAGTTTAAATGTTCCTCCTTTGTGTTGTCCATTTAAGTTGCTTTTAAAAACCTGGATTTCCTCTTTTTTCAGCGATTACTAAGATTAAGGATATGGCAAGATATTTGTTTCCGAAGCTATACATTAAACCAGACCTCACTTTCAGATGCCAGGTTTGATCCTTATAATTTTAATTATCCTTTTAATTATCACCATTAAACCTTTTATTATTGTTATTATTGTCATTGTTCTTGATATTATTATATCTCTCCTCATGAATCAAATATCTGCTCTATAACTTGGCTTTAAAGCATGTGGTTTATTATCTGTTAGATATTTCTGTAATGATTAAACTGTGGTTGACTTACCATAAAGTAAAGTACTTTGTGCAGTTATGATCACATGATTCCAATCGGAGTGACGTATAAATATGCACATGGAATTTCTCCAAAGACCAAAAAAACTTCACAAACCCATAGGGCGAGTGCAATTTTTTGTCTAAAATTTACCAGTTCTCATTAAACAGAAAAACTCATGTGATTACTTATTAATAACTGCATACATTGAAAATTGCTGAGTCACCTTATGAAAGTAGCACAGAGGCAAAGCTCTCAAATCATGTGCAAAGCTCAAAATAATATCCAGCCGGTGCTGGTCAAGTTGTTCAGTCAAACCTATTATTGCTTGGACACCAAGTTTTGGCCAGATAAATGTCCATTATGTCACATCTTGATAAATCCTCATCTTCCCCTCCCCCAGTATATTTCCAGGCATTTTCACTCCTCTGTTATTATTTCACCGTTCACTGTTAATTTTTTGCTCCACCTTTCTCATGTTCTTTTCTGGTAATATCCACTTTTCCCTACATCTAAGCAGTTCGGTAATCATGGACCTTTTATAATTGTAATCTGATAAACTTGAAGATTCCTCTAAAAAGATTTATGCAATATTGAGTAATTTAGATGTATTTATCTCAAAGTTTCTAGGAACTGAAGACGTCATGATATCAGATGATGATGTCATGTATGCTGAAGCTTTAAAGAAATATACGGTAATACACTCCTGACATGTGAAACTGATTAGCTCTTTGATTGGTATCTGACCAACTCACCCACGGACAAACTCACTCATGCCAACTTTCTCATACATAAAATCACTTCAATAAGCTCGTTTCAGATTTAGACTTGCTTAAGTTTATTTTGGATGTTTTATGTAATAATAAGATAAAAATTGAAGTTTTAACAACGTTTAGTTGACTGTAGACTGTTGCAGTACAAACAGAAGTAATTGACAGTAGGTAGCTTGCCATCACATACACACATTTAGACGTTATGGAAGATTTCCAACATTGGGACACTTTTTACATTACAGAATTGTGTATTTCTTCCACAGGAAAACTTTTATTTTATTTAAATGTTACACTTTCATGTTGTTTTGCATTTTTTGTTATATCTTTAGCTAAAGAATCAAAGCAATTATTTGGGGATTTAGATCTCAGTGTTTGTGTGCAATGGTATGCCAGTTGCCAAACACTTTGGTTTGTCTATATCTGTGCATTTATTCAATAAATGGATCTTCGCAATGATAAACACTATTTTGAAGACAATAGAAAAGTAATTTTAAGTGTTAGGCGGGGTGGGATGGGAAAGTTAGTTCGTGGGCAAATTGACTGTTAATTTCATTCAGATTTTTTAAGCTAATTGAATTATTGGGCTAGACTGTAACATGAATTGAATTAAAATTAGTTCTTGAATCAGTCTTAAGATCTAATTATTTACAGTCAGCAGGTGATTACATGTTGGATCCAAAAGTTGTAACAATACCTTAACATATTATTTAATACAAGCTAAATTGCTTAAAATGATTTCATAATTAATTCTTTGATGGGTCAGTGTTTCATCACTTTTTTACTCCTAATTCCTTAAAAAATAGCATCACACACATTGCCCATCAATTTTCTCTTAGTAATTAATGACAATGCAACAGAAACAATACAGCATGTAAGAGACGTGCCTAACTTTACATTTATGTGCCTGCTACTTTTAAGAAAAGAATGATAACACCAATTTTTTAATATTTAATTGCAATAATCATATCAAGATTCATCTTGTTCAAAGTTACCTTTAAGCTCCCTGTACATCTTGCTGTTTTGTTAATATTAAACAGTTAGTCACCGAAGATGGAGAGAGTATTGTTGTATAATATTCACTGAGCTTAAGGGATAATTGTTATAGTATAATTGCTCATAGGTACTTTTGAATCTTGCTGTAAATATTTGGTTTGATTTTGAAACCATTTTTGTTTTCAATTATTTTAAGTACTCATATTAAGATAAAGAGCCAGTTTCCACTAGACTTTAAAAGGTTCATTAAATTCAAATTTACTTCAAACTTAATTTGCAATTGAATTTTCTTTATCATGTTCATCACTTCCTCTGTAACACTGACAAAACCCGAGGCAGTCAGTTTGAAATTTAGCGCTCCTCTATAATCACCTGGAGCAATTATGCTTAATAGTAACCCTTTGACCCCTAAGAGTGACAAGCATCTAATTTCTGTGGACAATATCACCCCTGAATCAAATGTTAAAGCCACAAGAAAAGAAGGAAATTATCACAAACTTAAGAAGCTCCTGATTGTTAAACAATTTCTCCTCATCAGCACCTTGTCTGAACAGTGTGAAGAATATGCTTACTGATGCTAGGGCATAAAGGGTTAATTATGTTAAGTGTGTGTGAGGCAAAATCACAAAACTCAAAACTGAATTGAAACTGAAGTTTTAAAACAATCTGTGAAGTATGTAAAGAGCCACCTTAATATATATTGCATTATTGCAGAATTAAGGTGGTACTGAAACTACAACACACCTTTATTTTGAACTTTGCAAAATAATCAAAGTTGTGTTAATTGTGGAAACACATTGGGGGCTCACACATACGTGGGTTTATGTACCTGTTACATTTATGCCTGGGAGCAGAATATGTGGTTCATTTATCACATGCATGAATATAAATTTGGCAAGAGCTACACACTTTTCATGCATAAATCAATGTGAGAATGCTAAATGTTTATGTAAATTGAAATTCATCCTTGTAGGCACAGACGAGAAGTGTTTTGGCAGGAGACTTGGAGACATATTGTGAATTATGTATTGGCAGAACCTATGTCTGGATAGAGGAAGAGAAAACTGGAGTAAGAGAACTGAGTTTAGCATTTGTTTATCATGCTATTGTAGAGTTTTTATCCAGAAAATTTATACCAGTTCTGAAATTCAATCCCAATTATTTACAGTCTATCAACTTTGTCTGAATTTGTGCTGCAAACATGCTTGTTTGAATTATTGCACACAAAGCTCAGAAGATCATATTTAAGTTCTCTATGGAGGTGTCCTCTTGGGCATCTTACAAATCATCTTTTAAGTGTGTTTTAAGTTTTTCTTTGGTTATATTTTTGTAGGTTAGAGAGAACATACATCGCATCAGGGAAATACCATTCATTACTCAAGATCCAGATGACAAAACAGTCTTTGGCTTTGTGTCCAGTCACCATATTTACGAAAATATTTATGAGCTTTATGCTTTTAAGTCCCAAGAAGTAAGTGGAAGTGGAAGCCTTGTGCTAATTTAGCCGAATTATTAGGAATTAGTATAGCCTCTTTATTTATGAACGAGTTTGGTACTGAGGTCGAGAATAACTTTCACGGGAAAAAAAGCAAAATATCTCCTTTTCACCGTAGCGGTGAAAAAAAGGCTGTCGACCGACCAGAATTCGTTCAGACACTGTAACTTTAGAAGGAAAGATAATATTTTGTGACGTCATTAAATTTGAAACCCAAAAATTTATCTTCCTTTGCTAAAGTGCTATCGAAGGAAAGGTATTCCGTGTGATATCCAAACCAGACAGATATATTTCTTAGTTATACATTTCTCTTTGATGATTGAGGATTACAAGGGTAAAATATTACAAACGTATTGACCATGTTTGAAAATGAAGTTACAAACCAATTTTTTTTAGTAGTTAATTTTACCCCTTGTCTTAGAGGTAAAATTCTTGTCTTCAGACAAACACTCTTCATTTACAGAACAGATTACAACTTTAAGACACGCAAATGCATATCTCGATGAGTTACGAGCTTTTGATATATTGCAAAACGTTTTTGCTCTTTAGGCAGAGGTTATCATTAAAACCTTGAGGGAATGTATCGGACCTGCGACTAATATCATGACAGAGGCGGCCGGATCATTAAATGGTATATACTACTGAGCCAAAGTGCCCCGTGTATATTATTTAATAGGTAGTCAGGTTAGTTTTGTACTGAAGAAATTACCTATTGTTTTTGTCGTCGCTATGCATGTACATTCAAAATGCATTTTAGATACATTTGATCTTCTTCGGTTCAAGAACACTGACTTGGCTTTTGCACACGCACCTCTTCGTTATCGACTTCCTCTTGCGCACGATTGTCATTAGTCACGATTAGTTACCATCACCATGACAATATTCATCACTGATGTTTTTTGTCCATCTTATCAATCTAAACCATAATCCTTTACATGATGAGTACAGCAAAGGTTTCTTAACACTTAGGTGCTCTTTAAGAGACGTGTGTTTAAAGTTCAAGATAATTCGTGTTCAGTCCAACATCGCCGCCCAGCGGGCTCTGAAGCGCTTGTGTGAGTCCAATTTGTTTCACTTGAGAACTTCGAAAAGTAGTGAGAGGCATTTGAGTGCGCTCTTTTGAAGGGGTGACATTTTTCCCATCCTTCTATTTTTTAACGATTTTCAATCGACAAATTTCGAGTGCACGTGAATTTTATAAGTGACATGACCAATAACATCCTGTGGCTATTAAGAGCGGTCTAAGTACACAAAGATACAAATCCAGTTGGATGTTGCTGCAAGCACCACTGAGTTCACTCACTCAAACGACGAGTGACAATGGATAACAAGCTGAGCTTGATTTACTTTTAGACGGGAAGAATGATAAAATGACAGGTAGCAATTTTTATGCTCTTGTAGTTGGATCTATGGTAGAGGTTCCTTGCTGAATGGTATTCAAATATATGGTGTTACTCGCTGGATGGGAAATATGTCACAAGTGAAGGAAAAGGATAAACTCAAGTGATCCCTATCCTCCACTTCTGCCTCGGTCTTTGTGCACGACATCTTGCTCCATAGTTTTATTTTAGAGATTTTTTTAAACTTCAAATGTTGTAACATTCTAAATGAAATTGGAATATTTTATAGAAGACCAAAAAAATACATAATTTGCGTTTTTGGTTAACTAAACGAGAAACATCAAAATTCAAGAGTACCTATGTCGAGTTATAGTAAACGTCGCAGCCTGGCTGAGGTTCTTCAAGCACTTTCGATGACTGTAACATTTTCAAGACATGTTCCGATCATGGGCTCACAAGAATTCATCTAGTGAACAAAAATATGCTTTCCAATACCGGCCTGTGACAGTTTCTAAATTTTACAATAAGTTTAAGGTTTCTCATCTTGTGAACATACCAGCGACTGACGGAGAAAGAGGAGCAAGAAGGAATTGGTCACAGGCTAGTGAGAAAGGTGATGGTTCAGCTGACACATATGCTAGCAGAAGTGCAGGAGAAAGGGTTGAGAGAGACCAAGATACATTTGGCTAAGATGAATCAGCAGCTGATAAACCTGTGGGGACATATGCAAGAGAGACATGATCAACTGAGAGTTGTAACCCAGCAAATGAAGATTATCCAAGGGCAGTTAGAAGAAAAAGATGCAGAAACTGCTAATTTGCAGAATCAAGCTACTGCCTTAAGGCAACAAAAGGAGGAAAAAGACCAGGAAATTGATGAATTGGAAATAACTCTGTCCATAGCTCAGGATGAGCTACGTGATTATCAACGCCAAGATTCCCCTGACTGGGTCATTTCACGGGACCATATTCAGCTGATAAGAACATTTCTTGGCAGAGGAGGCTAGGGAAGTGTTGTCGAAGGCAAATATTGTGGTTGTTATGTTGCGGTGAAACAGATCCATGAATTGATTCTCTCTTGTCGCAACCGCAAATTATTTGAGCGAGAAATGGATATTGTTCAAGATGCCGCCACCCTTGCTTGCTGCAGTTCATTGAAGCTACAAATGACGAAGGGAATCCATTGTTTGTAACAGAGCTCATGGAAACTGTTGGAAGAGAGAGCTCTTTCTGAGGCTGTATTGTGTTTTATTTCCCTGGATGTGGCTCGGGTGCTAAACTACCTTCACCAAAACCATTTTATTTTATTCACCGCGCCATCAGCAGTGCAAATGTGCTACTTTGGCGACAGGGTGAACATTGACGAGGCAAGTTGTCAGATTATGGAACTGCTAACTTTATGCGGCAGACTATGAGAGTTGCTTCCGATGCCATGATATACAGTGCTCCTGAAGGTTAGCTGTGATTTATTTATTGTAAATATGTGCGCATTTCACGCGCATGTAAGTTTATGAATCTCCTTGAATGTAAGGTATCAGACATGATATGATTAAACATGATTAGATTGATTAGTTTCAATAATTAATTTCATTATTCAGAATGGGAGAAAGGCATGAGCTTCCTAAGGAATGGAACATTTACTACGTGGGAGGTTGTCCTTTAAGTGTTATGTGGAAAGAGTTTATGAACAAATAAGTTTTATAATTTTGTTTGTAGCTCAGTTCTACAAAACGCCCTTCTACCTTGATTTTCAATCTTTAACGAAGACCCTTGTCGTATTTTTGGTAAGGATCGAAATTAGGGGGATGTCATTTTATTTTCCCCAGTTCCAGCTGAACCATTTGCGGCACGTGTTTGAATCAATGGCATGTGATTGGTTTGATGCCCTTTTTGCATGCTACGGATACCTTGCACTGTTAAGGTCATTTCGTAATATTGCATTGCACATCCTTACTGCGCATGATTTCACACCTGACCACTACGCGCAGATTAAAAATGTTGGCTTTTTCTTCGTGCTCGGTGCTCACCATAGAGGTAAGTTGCCACTTTCTTCAAACAAGCAGGTTCATCTATCTTTTTTTCTCTCCCTTGGTGTTGGGCACTTATTATCCTTCCGTAAAATAAATATAAACGAATTCTCTATGCAGGAAAAGGAATTCGATTTTGGAAACGGGAATGTAGTTAGATCTGGTAACTATAATTTTCATTGTATTTTAGTAATTACATGGTACATTTACTGGGCAATGCTGCTCCTAAACGAAAACTAGGACCTGTATTTTTTTATTTCAAAATTTACATTCCTATAAGGTAAACAACCAATGGCTAAAGTTTGACAAAAATCTCAGAGCAGGTTCTATTTCAGAAAACTGAGCCTAGGATCACACTC